AAGAAAACTTTGCTTAATTTCAGGAAACATCCTTAAGGATGCGGTACCTTCGTCAAAGTTGAATGTACTTGTAATAGATAAGGAAAATCCAAGCTTGGTTGTTGTTGTAGAATTTCAGGTAACTTCAGGTAACAGAAATTCTTAAAAGTTCAGGAAAGTTTGCAGGAGTGTAGTTCAATGAACTTAGTAGAAGTTGAGCTAAATAAGTTACAATTCGAGGAACTTCGTTAAACTTCATAGAAGTGCAGGGAATTTTGCCAAAAAAAACAAATCATCAATTACTATGAATTGAGTTCCAAAGGATTTCAGAATTCTGAGGATAATCCCAGAGAATTCTGCGGAATATTATCTGAGCAATTGAGAGAAGAAATCCGTGAAGATTCCGAGAAGAATTTAAATTGAACTCTCCGGATAATTTATAGGAAACTTTCGGAAGAGAATTGCAAGGCATCTCTGTTACTATTCCAAGGGACTATTGAGGAGAAATTGAAGGGATTTTGGAAAAATACTTGGGGAATGTTCCAAAGTTACATTTAAAAAGAAATTTTAAAAAGGATTCTTAAGATCAAAACTTCACTGCGATTCTGAGGCAAGTTCTAATAGAGCTATAAGATTTGTTTTCTCTTTGACTTTTAGGGATTTCTTAACTGAAATTAATAAAAAATAGGATAATTATGAAGAGAAATTTGAACTACTTCCAGTGAAAAGTTTGTACAGTTCGAAGATAATTTTAATTCGAATTTCTGGAAATAATTCCAGGAATAGATAGCATAGAGTTTGTATTAAGTTCCTTTAAATTAAATTAATCAAATTTACGGCAGTGATGCAAAATATCATGACACTCACGTGACACTCGTCTTCGCTAACAGATCGTTTTGTCACGCAGTGAGAGTTAGAGTCATGGTAAACAACAATCACCAGTAATGGTCGCTGCTCACAAGCAAAACGTTACACTCGCTGCTGATGATGAAAAGCACAACGAAAACAGTGAAGACTTCTGCAGTACGATCATGAGAAAAAGCGAAACGACAGAAGAAAATGAAAACACTGCCTACGCATTCCAAGTTCATCTCGGCAGGCGCGACTGTGTGAGTTATAAACAAAGCAGGCAACATGAAACAGAAGCTGTTGGGTTCACTCACCAACACACTCACATAAGCAAGCAAAGCAGCAACTGCTTCAAAACGAGCATAGATGAGTGTCGTGATTGTCGGGAATGACCAGATCGGTGATGGATCACAACAGAAGACGACATTCATCAGTTGCTTTTTACTTCTTTCGTCAACTTGATGGATGGTCATGGAGAGAGCTTAGACGAGTGCATTGATAGGAATGTACAAAGAGTTATTACCATCAGCTGTTTGGCGATCGTGATTGTGATAGGTCGCAGCTCTGATTTACGGATACAATTTGAATTCCTATCCGATATTCCCAGATCAAATTCCTAGGAAAATTCTATAGAACTCTGATAGACTTCTGAGATGATTCTATGGAACCTCCAGGAAAACTTTCTATACGCATTTGGTTAAGATTCAAATATTAATTGCTTAATTGTCCTAACAAATTAGTGTAACGACTATATAAATCACCCCTCCTCCATATTTCACCCACTTGGTGCAATCTTATTATTTCCATCCTAGTTCAAGAAAACTGGTGATTTTCTGGAATAAATACATTTAAGGAATTGCTGTTCCATTAGAACTACATCATTAGAAAAAAATTGAAGAAAACTTTGAAAGAACTTTAAAAAACTTAAGGAAACTTCGAAGAACTTTACAAAACTTCGTAGAAAATCAGGGAAAGCGAATTTCGTGAAGCTTCATTGGACTACGTAGAAGTGCAAGAAATTATGTAGAACATCAGCTAATTTTGTTGGAATTCACAGAACTTCTTTATGAAACTTTGAAGAAACTAAGCGAGCTTTATTTAAATATAGCAAACTTTGTAGAAATTTTGTGAACTTCACTTAAGTTCAGTGATTTCTCTATAACTACAGGGGACAACTTAGAAATTCAGGAAGTTTAATATAAATTCAGAGAACATCGTAGAGCTTCCGAGATCTTCTGGGAGATTTGGGAAAATTCGTAGAATTGGAAACTTTGTACAATTTTGGAGAGCTTCGTTGAAGTTAAGAAAACTATGTTTAGTTCAAAAATCTTTATAAAACTGTTAAAGTTTAATGTGCTTGTAATAGTTCCAAAATCAAAGAAATTCTTAAAAGTTCAGGAAAGTTTGTAGAAGTGTATTTGAGCAAACTTTGTAGAAGTTTAGCTAAATAAGTAGCAATTCGGTGAACTTCGATCAACTTTATAGAACTGCAGGAAATTTTGTATAGGAATTCAACAGTTACACTGAATGGAATTCGAAATGATTTCAGAAGATGACTCCAAAATAATTCTGATGATAATTCCAAGAGAATTGTGCGGTACTGGGAAATTATCAGAAGAAATCCGTGAACATTCCGAGAAGAGTTTAAATAGAATTCTCCGGATAATTTATAGGAAGCATATCAGTGAGCTTTTCAAGGAACTACTGAGGAGATCATGCAATTATTTTGGGAAAATATTAGGGAAATGTTCGAAAGATTCTGATGAGGAAAATTTATATGAAATTCTGAAGCAAATTCCAAGAGAACTCTAAGATTTTTTTCTTTTATGAAGACTTTCAGCCTTTTTGGCTGGTCCGTCTCTTTATCTCTAAGGTTTACATGAAGTGTAAATAATTAAACATTTAAGATAGTTATGGACTGAAATTTAAACCATTTCCTGTGAAAAGTTTTAACAGTTCAAAGAGCATTGTTGCGATAACTTTAATTCGAATTTCTAGCGATAATGCATGGTATGGATTTTATAGAATTTGTATTAAATTTAATTTAATTGATTTATCATCACGGTTAAAAATTGCATTTCTATCTGGTATTCCCAGATGGATTCCTAAGAGAAATTACATAGAACTCTGGAGGAATTTTGAGATGATTCTATGGAATTGACAATTCCAAAAATACTGCAAAGAATTCCAAGGGAAAATTTGGAGCAGTAATTAACGAAAGCCATTAGACCGAAAGTCATTAGACCGAAAGTCATTAGACCGAAAGTCATTAGACCGAAAGTCATTAGACCGAAAGTCATTAGACCGAAAGTCATTAGACCGAAAGTCATTAGTCCTAAAGTCATTAGGCCGAATTTATCACTAGGCCGAATGGGTCATTAGGCCGAAAATATAATAGTTGTTCACTTTTCATTAAACGGCTTCTGTATTGTTCCAGATTAAGAAAATAATGAGCAGCTAATGAAGCAGGTAGAATTATGTTGATCCACGATTTCAGAATACATTGCTGTAATATGCTCAAAAAAACCGCTCAAATATGTTTCAAAGAAGGAAAAATCTGATGTGAAAAATATTTACTAGACATATCAGCAGATAGAGATCACGAAAGAACTCTATTTTATTGAAAATATGGAAAATCTGCTATGAAAAATCTTTGTTAAAAATTCCTCAGCAGAAGATATGCCTACCCGAGCAGGAACAAATATCTCGATACCTTAAATTGGTATGGATAAGCCTGAAATAAGAGGTAAAATACCAAAAAATAATACCAAAAAAATGTTCCCGTAATACCATTCCAATACCAAATTTTAATAGTGCAATACAAAAAAAATATCTCCCAGGTATTCTTTTGGTATCCAAATATAATTTTTTGGTATTTACAAAATATGTTTCATGTATTTTTTTGGCATTATTCTTTGGTATTTTACCTCTTACGTCATGCTGGTCAATACCAAATTTTAGTATCAGATCAAAATTAGGTATTCATTAGTTATTTTCTCCTGCTCGGGACACTCCCGATCATAAGTTTGGGGTCACCCAAAAAAATGCAATTGTGGTATGTTCATATTTCTGCTATTTTACATCCAATTTTCGCTCTCTTTAGATCATTTGAAAGGTATTGATTAGAACTTTCTTCGTAGTAAATGGCTCAATACAATTTTAAATGTTGTATACTAAAAGTTCACCCAAAATTACAACATTTCTCAAAATTTGCTTTGAAGAATCATCGCTGATTTTCTCAGAATTGGGTTATCCAAATTTTGAAATGAAAGTAATAGTAGAACCCTTATTCTATAAGAGATCTAAAAAAATACAGACAAACAGTCTGAATTTTTCCATGTCCAAAAATGTTGCATTCTTACCAAGAAGATTACGATTTTGATATTTTTGAAAAACAGAAAAATCTTTAGAAAATAAAAATTCAAGATTATGTTATGTATTCAATATCCCTTCTCAGATAGAAGTTTTGAAAAATTCACAAACCTGCATTTCCTAAAAAAAATCCTAAGTTCAATGTAATCACTTTTCTAAATTCGGCCTATCGAACCATTCGCCCTAGTGGCGTTCGGCCTAATGGCCGTCAGCTTAATGTCCCTACACCGTCCTAACACACTATCATAATATATGTTCATGTTAATGAAAACTTAAACTTATATCTTTGCTTATGCATCCAGTTTTAGAGACAGCTGATCAAAATGACACTGCTCATACTATTAATAAAAACTCTAATACCGGTCCCTATTTTACTATTAAAAATCGAAGTTTTTGATCAGTGTTGTCTGTACCATCTGTCCCTTTGATTTCGATTACCTATCCAACTTCTATCCACGAGACGAATAATTGGCGAAGTATCGTAGGTTTCCATTACTCAAAAACCCGTCTTAAACTACTAAAGTTCTTTGAAATTCAAGTCTTGACTCTCTCCCCCACACTCTCCCTACCTCCTGGCTATATGTTATGTATTGTACGTGTATCCTCCTACAGCTCCTACAGACTGTCCCAACTCCCCCGTTAACCAATCCCACTCTCACAGTCACTTGTTTTTGGTGTGAGCATCACTGTCTCGCTCGCCCTCCGAATTTCTCTTTTTCTCTCTCTCTCTCTGTCTCTGTGCATTTTCTTTTTGGCTCGCTCGTTCTGTTCTCTGTGTTGCATCGTACTAGCCCTTCCAGGTTCGTTCCCTTGCCCATGAAGTATCATTCCGCTTACCTGTGGACGCTTTCAAGGGTGCACACGACAGTTCCCACCACGGCGGCGGCCTGGGCACCTACGCCGGAATCTGCATCGGTGATCCGGAGGTCGGCGACGTCACCATCTCCGAGATGAGCCCCGAGGACATCCGCGCCGAACTGAAAAGGTAAGGCACAGGACAAATGGAAATGATAAGACTCATTGTAATCGTCGGCTAACTATTTTCTTTCTTTTCCCCCGGCAGACTGTACACACAACTAGAATACTTAAAGAATAAGACACTCCGGCAGGACAATCCACACATTAGCAAACGAAGGGGAGGCCGCAAGGTGGCCCACCGTAGATTCTCGTTACAGGTAGATATTGAACGAACTTATGGAACTAGATTGGTTTTCCGTTTTCTTAGGTTTTGTGCTATCTTTCACCGTTTGTTTTAAAGGTTATGTTTGTATCTATTTATGGGTATGGCGTGTGGAAGCGTATGCACCGGTTTCAGAGTTGATGGGAACGAAAAATATACTAAAATGCGGATTCCACCTTACTGAACTACACCAAGGAATACATTTTGAACTAGGTTGAACTAATCGATTATTAATGAAAATAGTTGATCCATTTTTAATTGCCAGCCTTCCCGAGCAGGAACGAATGTCTCGATAACTTAAATTGCTATGAGCTTGGTATAAAAGTAAAGACCAAATAATAATACCAAAAAACTACAAGGGACAGCCCTATGGGGTTGTACGCAATGGAGACGTAGGACTACGTGGTCTTATATAATAAATCTTATTTGTTAACTGCAGCAGGAGCTTGTGTTTTGTGTAGGAATAGGAATTTAAGTGGGGTTCTCTCTGTTTATACTCTTTAGTATGACGCGCTTGACACAGATGGCTCATAGCGGTTCACGAATAGCTACTGATTCCAATCAATAGCGATGCGGCTTCTTGCTCATTCTTTTGATCCTCATGTTGTCTGCAGCTCGCAGGCAGCCTTTCGTTGTGTAGTGGAGAACAATGTTCAACGCCACGCGCCGAAAGCACTGCTGTTGCTGCTGATGCCGACGACCGGACACCACCACACACTGTGATTGGAACTATCAGCCTTGATAGCTAGCTGTTTGCGGGGAGCCTTTCGTTTTATCCTGGAGAACACCACCACTCACCCCGCGGTGATGGAATAAACACCGTTTGGTGAGATCGGATGGAATTCAACTTTGAAATTTGTGTTAGGGAAATCGCTTTTCACAGGCAATCAGTGTTAATTTTAATTATCATAGCAACAGTTCCACACTCGTGTAATTTTCAATTGTAACATTTTGAAAAATTACAAAGTATAAAATTTTACGGATGCGTAGAAATATTTCTGAACGATTGGTGATAAAATTATTAAAATTTGACCAGGAGCAGCTGTGTTATTAACGTTCGAAATTTTTCATAATTTTGTTACATGTTCCATTTTCAGTTTTCACAAAGTGTATCCCCATATAGAAATCACAGACGTAGTCCTGCGTCAAAATGTTCTTGCAATACCTGAAAATACACGCAAACCAAAAATTTATTACACTGAATGTTAGTTCCACTTCCGATCATCCTCTGTTCATGAACATCGCAGAGAATGTTAAAAGTTGACCTTGCAGACGATGCAATTATTTTTAATCTTTCTTTATTCCGTGTTCTGTACCTGATTTCACCTCCACAATCAAGCATTTGCCTTGATTTGTATGTATAACATGGTAGAACGACGCACACACTTGCCTCGATTCTCTCAAGAAAAAAAAGCAACCGAGTATGCGAGGAAATGAGCGCTTCTTGTTTGCTTTTAGGCTATCCATATCCCGAAGCATTACATGATTAATTTCACTCACTAATACGCTCCACATCTTTCTTTCTCCATTTTCTTGCATTGAACCGCAGCTCGGTATGTCACATCCTCGGTTCATGCGGTCTCCAATAACATCCTCCGATGATGAATCCCACATAATGTAAGCGAATCTTACATCCATCGGTTGGGTGTACACTCCCGGTCATAAGTTTGGGGTCACCCTTTAAAAAAAAACTATTCTATAACTTCTCTTTAAGTTTCAACATTTTCCAAAATTCACACTAAATATTCATGACTGATTTTCTCAGAATTGGGTCGGACAAATATTGAAATGAAAGTGGAAGTAGGACCATTATTCTATACCCATCGAGATTCTTTAGTGAAAGTATGGTAGAAAAATTTAACATATGCTTTAAATTATTAAAATACTTATTCAAGTCATCGATCCAAAGTTTGGGTTCAACTGGGAATATTGTTTTTTTTATATGTGTGCTATTTTTTTCCAATTTTAGTTCTCTTTGCAATATTTAAAAGGCAATTGATGGATCTTAATTCGTTGCAATTTATACTAAAATGAAAAGCAAACTTACAACAGTAACAAATCATAGTGTGGGGTGACCCCAAACTTTTTATCGATGACTTGAATAACAGTTTTATTGATTTAAAGCATTTTCTAAATTTGTCAACCAAACTTTCACTAACGAATCTCGATGGGAAAAGAATAAGGATTCTACTTCCACTTTCGACCCAATTCTGAGAAAATCAGTCATAAATATTTGCGTTACGTAATGTTTTAACAGGCCATAACGCGCTTCAAAAGTTTCCATTTCGAATTTAAAGTTGAAAAGATGTCGAGTATAGAGAATTTAAGAAAATTAATTTGATTTGCTGAAAATCTAGACTAACATATGTAAAGGGCGTAACTCCAAAATGTAAACAAACCATATTTTGCCACATATACACTACCGATCATAAGTTTAAGGACACCCCCAAAAAACCATGCAAATATGTTTTGTTCAATGATCTCTCATTTTACGTTCAATTTTCGATCTCTAAACGTTATTTGAATGGTATGAATGGTATACAATAAGCACAGACAAACAGACATAACACTCGCAAGTTGTTCATCGAACAAGCATTTAACGGACAATTTAAAAGTATCGTAGTTGGTAGTACCGCCACCTGTGGCGCGCATATTCAATTCCCTTACGTTTGACGTTTACACACAACCACCATCTGTTCAGCGTAGTGCCCACCACAGTGTACTCAACAGATGGCGGTAATGTTTTAACAGTGAGAAATATTCAATGTGTTATGTCTGTATGTCTGTGGCATAAGTGTTCTACTACTACTTTTATTTCAAAATTTGGCCAACCCAATTCTGAGAAAATCAGTCACGATTCTTCAGAGTAAATTTTTGAAAAATATTGTAACTTTGGGTGAACTTTTAGCACACAAAATTTGAAAATTATATTGAACAATTTGCCAACGAGGAAAGTTCCATTCAATACCTTTCAAATGATCTAAAGAGAACGAAAATTGGACGTAATATGACAGAGATATGAACATAACAAATTTGTCATGTTTTTTTGGAGGTGTCCTTAAACTTATGATCGGGAGTGTATAGAGAACAGTTCACAAACTACTCGATAAACACGAAAAAGTAGAAAAAAATATCACTTCAAATCATCAAAAACGTTTCTTCTTATTTAACTTTAAACTCTATGATGCATCTGTTTGTTACGCCTTGCGCCAGAACTACGAATTATATTGTTTTAATATGCCAAACGTACTGATTCTGTAATATCTAGTCACGCCCGATTCATTTGAAATGCATCCGATTGATATTTCACGTGTAAACAACGAACAAAAAGAAGACCAAAAAAATCATTGGGCATAATTCCACTCTCACAAAATTTGTGAACGAAGAACCAAGGCGGAACAACCAACAAAAAATCCCAAGGGTGTGTTTCTCGACCAACAATTCGACAGTGAGCATGCATAAGGGCGAATACGCGATGATCGATTCTCTTCATCGATTTTCTCTTTGCATTGCTACAGCTAAGCAAAACAATATTCTAGAATTTGTTCAATGCAGAGTAGTAACAGGTTGTATTGGCTATCAAAAGCAACAGCAAACGCACCGAGAAACGTTAAATCTAGCGAGTTATTAACAAAAGAGAAAATCGACGAAGAGAATCGATCATCGCGTATAGGCCCTTATGCATGCTCACTGTCGAATTGAAATAGGCGGATCAACCAAACGTAAACAATGGCTTTAAACGCAAATTTCTCGAGAGTCATAATACACCCACGCAAACTAACAATGTCATTCGATAAAGGAAGTTTGCTCTTTCAGATGCTGGTGTTAGATTGCGTGGATGTACCTTGATTTTCGAGAAATTTGCGTTTAAAGCCATTGTTTACGTTTCGTTGTTCCGCCTATTTCAATTGTTGGTCTAGATTTCCACGGCGTATCACCAGTGTTGGCAGTTCAAAGCCCGGAAGATCCGGGGGGAAACAACATGTAAGAAATTATCAGGGCGTATGATGTTTTATTCTCAATTTCACGACAAAGAAAACTTTTTTGAGTTTTTAGTGATGCATAATGATATATTACACTAATAACTATATGTCAAGCTTATAAAATCATTCAGAAAGTGGAAAGTCGTGAAATAGGATTAATTTTTAGGTCATCAATTCTCAACGATCATCATCGATCTCATCAATTCTCATCATTCTGAAGCGATTTTCTCGATATGGTCATTTTGGGGTTACGCCCTTTTCAAATGTTAGTCTAGAAATTTACGATCCACGTCTTAAGGGGGTAGTACCATGGAGGTAACTCTAATATTAGTAGGTCCCGAAGAAACGTGCTCAACTTTTTGGCTCAGCTCTGGTACTATCTTCGGTCCCAAGCTAATCGATGCACCCCTCGAAATATAGGAAAATCCACGAACCCCTTATTTTATCTGTCAAACTTTCATAGCAAATCAAAACAAACATTGTGTAGTACTGGAATTTCGACTAGAATGGGGTACGTTAATCGATTTGCTTGGGACCAATAGGTTAGTCAAGTAGTTTTCGGGGCTAAATAAACATCTGTTAAAAAAGGAAATGCACCAGGTGCCACCAGCCACTGCCCGCCGCATTTTCCTTAGCGGTATGGGTTCCACTGCTCGCCCATGTGAACATAGAACATTTTTTTTTAATCATGTTTCGAGAAAAAACAAGTTTGAAGTTTTGAGACGTCGGAGCGCGGGTCAGGATTTTGGTCCACGTTTCGGCCTATTACTTTCGAACGGAATGTCGGACGGACTTTGGGTAAAGTTTCACATAAAGTAGACATTCCAAAGAATTTTTTAAGTCCAAATAAAATATCGATTTTTTGAAAGTTACAGAGTGTACTACCCCCTTAAATACGATGAAACAATTTGACAGCACAAGCTTTTTTCGTTTATATCAAGCTGAACATTGCATTAGGTTCTAAGTAACATTGATCGATTCTCTTCGTCAACTTTCTCTTTCGTTAATAAGTTAGCATTAGCATCGAATAAGTTGCACAATATCGTAGGTGGTACGAATTCAAAACTATTAAGAGCAAGACGGTTATCTATTACTGGACAGATAGTAAGTTTTTTTTTTTTTTTTTTATTTAAGAGATTTTTAGCCTCAGGCTAGTTCATCCCTAGGACAGATAGTAAGTAAGAAATAGCACTATCTCCCAGATAAAGACATATCCCACACCAACAGTTAAGGATTGTTCTGGCCACAAGTAACATAAACACACTTTGAATGAATTTTTGACTTGACCTTCACCAATTTGCATTAAACTCTTCATAATTGTTCGTTTTGGGCAGTCATTCACATTTATGCTAAAATTTGTTCTTGTTCAATATTGCAATACTAGTGCTCCAGTCATGTGAATGTGAATGGCTTAAATTTGAAATACATTTTCATGCTTTATTTGCGTAGATATGTGGTAAAACTTAGGTTACAGCTTAGCATTGAATTAAATTTCGTGAAGAATGAATTAAATTGAAATTTAAGATAAGGCTAATTAGGCAACCAGTAGAGCCAAAAACTGGCACACTGGGAGCTATTCGACATTATTCAATAAATCATAGCCTGAAAATGTCTTTTTCTAATCGAAATGACGTCTGGGACACCAAGTCAGTGTTGCTGGCAAATGTGTGTTTTTATAAATGTTGAAATTGCTGTCCAGAGCGTCTGCTGGAAAATAAGGTTGCTGAAATAAAATGAAGACTATACTTACATTTAAAATTTATGGCAAATCAAAAATTGACCCTAGATGGCATTACAACAAACGCTTCAATTGGTTGTTGTCTTGCCTATTCCTACACGTTTAAAAAATGCTACTCAAATCCAAGTTCACTTCACTCAAATACCGCAAAATTGTATCCATCCGCAATTGAGCAAAAGTCTACCCAAATTTAATCAAATGTCACCCACATTGCTGCAGATTTTCCGGAAAATCTGCAAGAACATGATCGACATCCACTCAAACACGAGTAAACGCTTCATCTGCCGCTCAAAGGTAAATGCTTCGAACGAATTTGATAGCAAAGATTACATCCTCAGAAGAAAGGTTTGTGTATTTGCTCATTTTTCTATGCGTTGCTTCCACCTTCACTCAAGCGCAGCGCTATTGTATCTGTCGCTTGGATTATGGTAAACTTTCCAGTCTTCTTTATATGATGTCTTCGACAGAACCCAAAATTGAGCTGCAATCTCCGTCCGTGTAATATACTTTTGCACGATCCTCCAACCTCGTCATCGTCTTGATAGCAACTCATGCCTGCTCTTATTAACTTTTTTGTCTTATTAAACAATCCACCCCAAGATAAAAGCTTCTTTTATCGATCTGTGTGCTGAAAATACCTGGTAATGTCTTTAAATGGCCGTGGGGATACAAATAGAAAGTCGACGAAGAAAACTGTCAATGTTACTTAGGACCTAATACAATGTTCAGCTTGTATAAACAACACTGTCTACTTGATATGGTCGAATATGAAAGTTTTTTTTTTATATTTTGTCCAAGATGCACTGCACTGTGCGACGTTTTGTATTCCAAATACAGAGCTTTACCAATGCTTCAACTAGCTGAATGAATAAAAAAAACTGAATTGGACTAATTTTAAGACACACAACCAACATCTTAGAAGTCGAACGTGGTTGCACTGCAAATGATGCAGACTCTACAAAACCGCATATCATTTCACCGGAAATCATGTGAATGCAAAAGCAGCCCATGGAGCGACTCCATCTGCACCCAACGTACCGGTTAGATTGCAAAACCGACCAAAAACTACATCTAATTCTGTGCTCGAATTTGCTTACCATGCACTCTATTCGAAATTCGTACGAACAGGTTGTAATTTTGAAAGTTGAATTAGTACGTCAATGGCATGCATATCCGAAATCCAAATCCGCCCACTGAATTGAATGTGGCAATTCCCTTTGAATAATGCATACGCTTCCATACTTCCACCCACCGACCGTCTGCACCGGAACGGGAGAGTCGAAATCAATTTCTGCAGCATTCGAAATTTATGTTGTATACCTACTTACAGAAGTGCAATTTCATTTCGATCTTTTATACATAATCCACATCTATTGCGGTATACATTGATAAGCTCTTACACAAGTTTGAGCGTGTGTACGAAAAACTGCTGTTTCATCTGGTAGTTTCAGTTTTCCAATTTCATTTCCATTATCCGCGTTTTTGGTTCTTTCACCTTTCCGGGTGCTTTGCGATCATCACCCAGGGGATTTTTCAGTTGTAGTTTTGTTTTCTTCATCATCTTTGTTCCGCCGGGAGTGCGCGCACCAGTTGGATTGATTTATTTCCGCGCTGCTCCACTTTCACCAACTATTATTGATGTGTAAATAATTTATTCTCACTTCACTTCAGTAGTTGTTTGGAGTTTGTTTTTCTCCTTTTTTTTCAATTTTCCCATTCAACCAGAAACTGAACGGAACTGATTCCCGAGTACAATACTTATGGGTGATACTACTATGTTTCGGTTTCCTTCAGTTTCGCGTTGTTCGTCTCTCTCACTACCACTTCTACTTACTATATAATGCCACTACTAAAACGGTAAGCTTGTATTATTGCAGGTTCCAGTAGAGTTGTAAATTTGTAATTGAATTCCGCTACCAACGATAGAATTTGATCATAAATGGTTGTTTGTTTTTTCTTCTTTTCTCTTTCTATTTTCGATCACACTCACGATGCCTCTCATACCACACCAAAAAAACCAAATTAAAAAAAAATCAAACACCTACAAATTAACATCAAATCAAACAAAACAAAAACTTTGCACATGTCACATCCACCCACTAATCGAAAACATTGAATTAACAAAAAAAACAATACAAAACTACTAACGCCAACACCAACTCCAAAAACCCGAAACCAATATATGAAAACAATCAAACAAATACCGAATTCATCTTCAGAAAAAAGGAAGCAGAGAAAAGGTAATTTTGTCATGTTTCTCCCCTTAGTCCCTTAGAGTTTGTAATTAGATTTTTTTGGCGCTCGATACCCCAGCACCCGGCCCCGCCGTGGAAAGTTTTTTTCCCCCACTCAAGTAAACAGTACATCCTGAATCGAATCGAACCGAACCGAACCCATGCTCGTTCGATGGAACATGTTTCTGCTATTGTTGTAGCAGTTGTTAGCAGAAGCGGCAGCTTCCAAAGTATACATAGATTAGCTATAAATCAACAAACCACGCGGTTTAAGCTCGCATTCCGGATAAAGATCACAAACACACGAACCGGTCGCGATGAGCCCCCTATTAAAGCTCTAAACTTTAATTCGAGAACGTAGGCAGACGTGACGACGCTGAAGGTGCGTCGAGTGGCGTGGTGCTGATGATAAATCCTCATCTCTTCGTCTGTTCATCTGCTTCTCACGGCGGCGGAGTCTGCTTTCCGAGTACGGAGTGTGGAAGAAGGAAATACGACGGCAAAATCTACAATGGATTACAGGAGAGTCTACGAATTCGTGCAATGGACTCATCTATCCTTGGTTTACCTTTAGGAAAGGAATTCCTGGAACCTACGCGTTGAACGGTGTTACCATGATGAATCGATATGAAGGCGGTAGTTAGGGATGTCCGGTGTGATATTAACGTATTAGCCTGAACGCTGAGTGTACGATTGCCGAAAACTATGGAAAATGCATTTACTTCACTACGTGGTTTGCAAACCAACATCAAACAAGTAAAATAATTGTATACCTTATTACGTTGTTTTTTTCATTTGATTCCACTACTAATGTATCACTTTCACTAGTTCACTATTTACTTTCCTATCTCTTTCAAAAAACTATAACAGATAGGGGAAATTGCTCTAATGTTGGCCTATGGATCTAAGATTGAGCCCATCGCTAAAAATCTGCTATTTATCAATTGTATCTAGATGAAGGTGTCATTGGGACGGTACCAATGGATATTTTTGATCGCTATTGAAAATTTAATAGATTGCTGAATTTATGTATGGGCCCAAATTAGGGGCATTTAGGCCGACAATTACATCCATTTTCCCTAGTAGAAGAATTAAAAGGAAAAACAACGTAATAAGGTACATAAAAATAAATGTTTGTGGACTTTCAAAACATTGCACAATAAAAAATAAAGTTAGTTAACAGACTAAAAAATGTGAACAACAAGATATAACAACTCCAATGAAGCTAAATTACAAAAATGACCTGATTGATGGCACAATTCCCTGATAATTCCAGTATTTTTCAGGTAGTTGCCACGCTAAATGTTGTAGGGGAAACGCTGCTATAGTTGCGGTACGTTAGAAGCGTTAGGTTCCAATAGTTATACATGGAGACTCAATACACAACGATAGGAACCTAACACGTCTAACGTACCGCAACCAGGGCAACACAAAGTCACTTTCAATCGAAAATCATCAAGCGACGATGAAGCTGTCAACCGTCACTTTCAATTGAAAGTTATTCTGTCTTCTCTTCAAGCAGATCCACGTCAACATCAACAGAACCACTTTCGATCTGTTTTCATGCTGTTTGTTTTGGCTTGACTCGTGTTCATTTCTTCTTTCAAGGTCAAATGAACTTACTTTTGCATTGAAGCAAACCTGTTCGATCCAAATTCGTGCAGTTTTTATTACTTTTGTTGCTTGTTCACTCGGCTCATTTAAGTGTATGCATATAGATCTGTGCACGTGGATGTTGGTGGTTTGTTTATCCATCAATATGAGTATTTTTTTAATCGGGGTGACGTCTAGAGATCAAAAATTTATATGCGACGCCATTTTGAAATCCAAGATGGTTTAAGAAAAAAATGTCAAATGCTGTCGAATACTTACCAATAAAGGTATGTTGGGAGTCGGGATGATGTCTAGAGGATGAAAATCGATATCATTTTGAAATTGAAGATGGCGGCTTCCGATTTACCAAAAAGTGGAAATACAGTCAAATACACATCAATATTGGTATTTTTGTAATCGGTATGAAGTCTAATTGATATGCGACGCCATTTCGAAATCCATGATGGTGCCTTCCGATTTCAGATTAAGTGAGAAATACTGTCAAATAGCCATCAATATAGGTATTATTGGAATCGGGATGGCGCACGCTATGTCTGAAGGCACTTTTTTTGCAACATTCATGTACCTCAGATTTTCCTTGACAGGATGTTAGTATTGATCCTAACAATCAAATCTGTGATAGTTTTAAAATATTTCATCTTGGGTTTTTTGAGAAAAAGTGTTTTGAAGTTTACAAAGCCGATTATGAAGGTGTATATGGACTATTGCGAATTGAACAAATGCAGTTAAACAAGATTCAAATGATGATTGAATTAATCTAAATGGCATTAAATAGAACTCTAACTCTGACTCTCAAGTAAGATCCGTATTGATTATGTCGACTTTGACCAAAATCTATTAATAATTGTTGCCAGAACAACTTCTTTATTAATTTCTCTTCCCTCATTCGAGTGTTTTTGTTTTTATTGGAGGTATCGTGTAGAAAATCTGGAAAAATTAAAAAAAAAACTTCATGAAGAAAATAGAGCGTTTTCTTGTTGTATTTGCCACCAAAACATCCCAAGGGGTGGACAATTGGCTTGGATTAAAAAATATAGATATGTTTGACTCAATGGCGAGATCGAAAATAATTTCTGGCAACCATGACGAATTGGTTTGAAAATCGTCTAACCAATAATACAGGAATGAAACTCACATGAGGTTAGCTATTTTCGCCCAGTGAGTTTAGGTAGTCCTAGCCTTGAATTACTACAGAATTGCTAGAGCTTCATTGCAATTCCCATATTTTGAATAAGAAAACATTTAGGAAGGTTCAGCGACTTTCCAGGAAATTCTGTGAACTATAGGGAACTGTAGTGAATTTTAGGAAAGTTCGGCAAACTATAAATAAGTTCCTCCAAAGAAGCAGAGAAATTCAACAACTTTCAGAGAAGTTCATTGAACTTCAGGAAAGACTTCAGGAAAATTCTTCAAACTTTAAAGGTGTGCTTCGCTCTCCAGATCTGCCAACTTCAGGGACATTTTGTGAGCTTCAGGGGAGTGCAATGCCCTCCTGCTAAGTTCTACGAACTTGAAGAGAGTTCTGTGAACTATAGCAACATTATATGAATTTCAATAATGTTCTGCAAACAGTTCTTTAAACGCGAGGAAATTTTTGCAACCTTTAGGATGATTTGTGAACCACAGGAAAATTTAATAACATTAGGAAAGTACCTACTATGAATTTTAAAAAACGTCTGAGAATTTCACGAAAAAAAAACAAGAACATCAAAGAGCATCATGAAAGTTAGAAGAATTTCATCGAAGTTCAACGAAATCAAGGAAAAACATATGAACAGGGATTTGAATTTGAATGTAACTTCTATAAGCTGCCTCATCGGGTCGTTGGTGGAACAACTCCCACTCCATGTCTTAGAAAACAGGTATAATATTGAGAATTTGTTGCAATATCTCTTTCTCTTTTACGAAATGTGATCGAGGGCATTAGCAGGGTGAAAGGGCGTAAAAATGAGAGTTACGCATGTTACATTGCCGTTTACCGGTATAAAAAGGGAGCAGTTTATGAAAATTGAGGTTCATAAACATCCAGAAGACCAAACTCGACAGTCAAAGTTGTGTGGGTGTGTACATATTTGTTAGAAAAAACACCACAGAAAAAAAAGAAATTCATAAAAAATTTCGGACGCAGGTTTCAGGATTCAGACTTCAGAATCTCTCAAAATTGGCAGATGAAAGTAACCATCACTTTGTTGCCAAAAGCATTAGTTAGTTAGCAGGCAAAAAACTAGTCTCGGTTAGTTTTTCAAACGTCGCAGGAAGACCAATGCGTTTAAATTTGAAACAGTCTGGAAAAAATCTAAGATTTCTCACGAAGATTTACTCAGCTTTAAGAAAGATCTTAATCTGAGTGTTAATAAGGTCAGTATGTAACAGTTATCTTTATAACTTTATATTTTACATGACTTTAAACTATACTTTAGTTATATTACAGACGCTAAAATTGGCTAAATGTCAAACTATCCAGCCCGGCCTCAAATCAGCTATGAGTAAAGACAACGCGGCCAAGAATGATCCCAATAACGCAATATGGTGGCTGCCGCAAATGCGACTCAGCATACGCAATTTGGATTCGCTGGTCGCCATTGTAGGTGCTTGATAAACGCCATTGCCTGATAATTGAGCAGTTTTTGAAGGATGAAATTTTAGTCATCAGCTAATGAAAAACAACACATCGCTGATTTTTCGATATGTTGTGTAAAAAAGCCTAAATTTTTAAGGAAAAATATAAAAACACTTTGCACCCTCTATCTACAAACCGTGAAAACCATAATAAACGAATACAATCAATGTTTTCAAATATAAAATCCTGATTTTTTGCTATAAATATTTTTGTACTTTTAATTACCTTTCATTTGATATTTTGATCTTTAAAATTGGCCCAGTTGTTCAAAAGCTATAATTTAAAAAAAAGTCATTTTTGAAAAAAATAAAAAAAAACGCTTTTTGGACTACCCTAACGTTGAAATAGTCACCCTAATGACAAAAAAAATTACGATAAGGATCAAAACTACCATTTCCTACCAAATTCTGAGAACCAATATATCGTTTTGCAATGGAATGGCTAAATAATAGTAAATTTAGAGACTAAACCATTGCTTGATTATTTTATTAATTTAAACATTCTGAGATCATGACATTGCTACGATATCTGACAGTACCGAAGAGGGAATCTTACTGTATCATTGAAACTTAGAGTTTTGACAACTTTAATCTCCTTTTGAATCATTTTCAGCTGAATTTGTTTCGATCCGTAACAGTTTTGTATCATCAATAGTCCGTATACGCCTTTGTAAACGACTAAGTATTCTTCAAAACACTTTTTCTCTAAAAACCCAAGATGAAATATTTTAAAACTATCACAGATTTGATTGTAAGGATCAATGCTAACATCT